GTATTCCTTGGCTGTTTCTCCTATATTCTTAGATCTGTTTGTATTATTCACCTAAAAGATTCAGGAGGAACCTAGAGTGTTACAGGACTCTGGAATAAATCTGACTTGTCCTTCTCAAAATGAGTACGCCCTTTCATCCCCTTTCAACACAGTGTCTTATCTTCTTTTTCAGGGGTCAAATGTAACTTCTTCCAAGACACAGGCTATTCACTGAGCAGTCTCCCTATCCAGGAGCCACAATGACAGCAGGGCCAGTCCAGAAATGCATCCCTGTGCTGGCAGGCAGAGTGTGAACTACAGAGGATTTGGGGAACTGGCTCCTTCCTGGATTTTTTGTTTGATTCAGGCATGAGGGTTCATGCAATTCACTTTAAAACAGATACCGGCGTGCAAGCTATTCTTGCCATCATCATCGAAGCGTCGTGGTCACTTTAATTTAAAGATCAGAAAACAACAAACTGTCTTAGTCCCACTCAGTGTGAACGCTGAAACTCTATTATTCATTTCTCAGATTTTATAGTCACTGTCAGTAAAGGGCAAGTCCCCCACCCTCGAGAACAAAAGTGAGCTCCCCCAAAACCCATGGTATAGTTCACACACTGCTGGCAGGTAGCATTTTCAGTGGATGAGGGATAACTGAACACATGCAAAATTGTATTTGAAATCTTTAATGTAGACATTAAGTCAGACATATTCCTTTGTCCTCTGGTTCTACTGTAGAAACCAAACTCGCCCACTCTCTTCTCTGCCTGGCTATTCTGGAGCAGAAACATGCTCAACTGCATCCGGAAGAACCTGATTTGAACTTAAGCAGAAGACAGAAAATCTGTTGCAGCCAACACACTTTGTTTTGTTTTGTCAGGAGAAAAAAAGAATGGGAAAAGGGTTTGTCTGTGTGTGTGCGTGTGTGTGTGTGTGTGTGTAGGGGAGGCATACTGGAAGAACCAGAAACTGCTACAGCTAAGGTGAGGAGGCTGAGATTGTGCATAATGAGAGAGAGAGAGACCATCAGTTGTAGTAGAGGGGTGTGTTCTTAACCTCACCTGCTCCTAAGTGTTTCATAAAGACGTGAAACAGAGGATGATGATGATGATGATGATGATGTGTGTGTGTGTGTGTGTGTGTGTGTGTGTGTGTGTGTGTGTGTGTGTGTGTGTGTGTGTGTGTGTGTGTGTGTGTGTTTTGGGATGGGGCCTCACAGAATTTAGCTCATTGTGAAGTCAGAGGTTAACTCCGGCACAGTTTCGAAAACTTTTCGTCTTTCACAGCCGGTCACCCGAAGGACCCAGTTTTAGCAGAGGCCTGAAAATTCCTTGTCACTTCTTATTAAATGCAACCCAATGTGTCGTACAGTGGGGTTGGCGGTGGGTGGGTTCACTCTCTGGAAAAGGCCAACACTGGACAAAAAAAGGGGCTCTGTTGTTGAATAAACTTTTGATCTGAAGAGTTTTTCAAAAAGAAGTGAATGTTTTATCACAATTTTTCTGCCCAACTTGTATCTAATGTGCTGAGTAATGTAACAGTAACTGAGAGGAGAGGATGCACTTTTTGAGATATTTGTGCTTTACTTGAGTATTTCCATTTTCAGAGGGAAATGTCTGCTGTGGAAGATGTGTTCTTATGTAAAAGTTGCAGTACCACACAATAAAAATAAAATAAATTAAAGTACTTCTCTACAAAGTCCTGCATTTAAAAAAATGAACAGTATTGCCAACAAAATGTACTTAAAGTATCAAAAGTAAAAGTATTCATCATGCAGAACCGTCCCTGTCCTCACAGTGTTGTATTATTATTATTATTGGATCATTATTGTTGATGCATTAACATATAAGTAGCATTTAAATGTTGCAGTTGATTGATGGAGCTAATTTTAACATCTGTATGTTATTTTGTAGTTGTTTAATCTATATCATCATATTTTATAACCTCATCATAAGTTTTGTTTGTTTTAGCTGTCAGATAAACATAGTGCTGGGGAATATTGTACTTTGTACTCCACACCATGTATTTGACATATCTGGCTATTAATTGAATTACCCTGGGATAAATAAAGTATCGATCTATCTCTAATTACTTTGCAGGGTGAAATTTATATAAAACACATATGATGATCTTATAAAAAACAACACATTGTTGTGGTTTCCAAACCTTTTTGGCTTGGGACTAAAAAGAAATAGGACCTCTGTCGTGTTTTTAAGATGTGTATGAGTTGTTGTCTTTTCACCTCTAAACCTCTCAGATGATTTCCATTAAATAACTGTTTGAGGCAAAAGAAGTAAAATTATCTAATATTTTACAAAAAAGCAACAATTAACTTCCTTCTGACCCCATCAATTATCTCATGACCCCTCAGATTTATCTTGTCACGCTTTGGAGGGGCCTGATCCATGAGTTGGAAACCACTCCCTAAACTGTATAATAAAGTAGATAAACTAGCTCCACCTCAAAGGGCAACAAATGCTACTTACACATTGATGCATCTGTATTAACAATCATTAGCAGTGACGGATTTTGAATGAAGAACTTTTAGTTGCAATAAATAAATCCATTGCTACTTTTACATAGGTAAAGGATCTGGGTGCCCCATATCTGTATCATATACACTTTGTCTCTATTTCTTCCACCTTGCTCCTCTCTCACGCTGCCTGTACATATTTTATCGCTGGCAACAGTGCGACAGTTTTGGCCTCGATCCTTGAATTCCATTTGTAGCTTCTGGGAGGCAGACGTTCAGCTCTATGGTAAAGAAAGAGGCCACCGGACTCTGTACTTACTGACTGGATGATGTTTTTACTGGGAGGATATCACACGTGCTAGGTTCAACTATGACTAGACATACTTGTGTGTTTATTGTTTTTTCCTTTTTTGAAATTGTTTTTTCGTGTACATTTATCAGTGTTGGAGTCACACTGAAGGTCACACATGATAAAATGGACTTGGTCAATAATGGCTATGGAGGAGGGTGGGGGGCGTCTCATGTTATCTGAATGTATGCAACCCTTCCTGTGATAGTAACAAGGTCAATGTATTTACTTACCGCTATGACCAACTTGATGTGCGTCGGCTTCTTGTTTTTTAAACCAGTGTCAATGTTTCAGCGCCTCTTCCACGAAGTATGATCAGAGAAAACATCTGGACTTTCAGTTACGGAGGTATATTCCTGACCTAAGTTGCTCTCTCGGCTTGGTTCAAGGTTGTTGTTTTTAAGTTTTATCTTTTTAGATGTACTTTATCTCCACGCCTCTGATGTAAATCTCATTGTAAACTATCTTATGGACCCAGAAAGGTTTGAGACTTTGAACCTGAAATAACCTGCTGTTTTGTTTATGAGAGGTGAGCAACCTCAATTCAGGAAGTGTGATATAAACATAAAAGCTGTAAAATGACTTGACCGACTATTTTTAGTATTTTATGAGAAGGTTTTACTCACTGGTCAGCCTGTTTTGGTCAGTTAGCTAGTTGTATATCCCTTTCACATTTGTATTTTAGATGATTTAAATTGAGTAATTAACATGTAAAGGTCATGAATATGTACAGAATAAGTCAATAATCTCCTTTGCCCATGTTCTTATAACAGCTCCATACAGTATGAAGTAGTCCACTTCTTTGTGTTGAACAGGTTGTTTTGTATTATTTAAATATTGAACGTGTGATAGAGTAGGCCATCCTGTCACAGGCCAAATCTGGGGACAAATTTTGGACTTTAAACCAGTTGACTGGCAACATCTTATTTACTTGGGGGTGGAAAGTTTGTGTCCCTACTCGGTTTTCTAACAGTTAAAGGACCAGTGGGAAGGATTTAGTGATATCTAGTGGTGAAGTTTCAGACTGCAACTAACTGAACACCACTCGCGTGTGTATTTGACAACCTGGGAATGAGAACAGACTGTGAAGTGTGTCGGAGAAACTACAGTGCCCATGAAAAATGCAAAAGGCCCTATTCAGAACCAGTGATGGTTTGTCTGTTCTTGGCTACTGTAGAAACAAGATGACTCCATTGAAGACGACCTACAGCGTCTGTAGATAAAACGGCTCATTCTAAAGTAACAAAAACACAGATTCCTATATTTAGGTGATACGCTCATGAACATACTACATACTATCAATATTATATTAATTTCTGCCAATAGATCCTCCTAAATATTACACACTGGATCTTTAATTCACCATGAGTGAAACTGATCTGAGCATTTCTAGAAAAAAGTCTGAATACTTTCAAAGAAAAAGTTTTAACGTTTTGAGTCTGAATAGAAGTGGTATGATTTTAGAATTTTTTTAAATATATTTTTTAGACCATGTCATAATATTTTAGGGAAAGGGGATGTAATTTCCGAGAAAAAATATTTGAAAAAGTTGTAATGCTTTAAAAAAAGTAATTATATATAATATATATAATTATATTATGAGAATCAGTATTAAGAGAGAGGGTCCATTTGTCATATTGTATTAAATGTGTGTCCATACAGTATACTGTACTGTACTGTTTGGCTGTTCCACAGGGAAAATCCTAAAATCCATAACAATGAGGTTCTTAGTGGTTAAACTTAAACAGTAGGTCAACCTTCAGGTCATCTATATCCTTTACTGTGCATGTAAACTAAAATATTATGACCTTTTTCCCGAGTTTATTCTTTAAATTCCTGATGATTTTACCCCTAACCTTGACCTTCATACTGTTGCAGGGCCCCCAGAAATATTCATCCAGGTCGTCCAAACCCCTGACTCTGACCCTGTTGAGCACGCAGAAAAAAACCTCCAGAGAATGAAATTGAACTAATGCATCCAAATACTGTATGTATGTGTGTGTGTGTGCGCGCGTCTCCCCCGCCTCCCTGAAAGGGTTAAACTCATAGTAAAATCCACCTCCACAGAGCTCCGCCCCTCAATTGTTGAGGCTGTTTGCCTCAGAAATCACACCACTCCAGATCCCGCCTTCCCCCCACCCGGGGCCCCTCTCGGCCCCACCCACTCCTGGACCACATTGAAATGGGTCTGATGTTGTCAAACATTACAGTGTGCAGAGCATCCCTCCTCACATCTTCCAGCAGGAGCATCTCTAACACAGCAGAGTGTCTTACCACCACTGGCGCAGTGTCCAACAGCAGTAACCATTAGTGACACTCACACAATAAGTCCCATCAGAGACCTGACACGCTTCATGCATCTTCCAGTGAGGCTGAAAAACATGGGACGGCCGAGTTACGCGTCAGTGTTGTTTCTCATCTGCTGCCTTGTTCAAACAAGTAAGTTCCTTCATTTGAACTTGATCAATTACGCCATTAATTGCCTCCATTTTCGACTTGGCATCTGTGTTAGTTAAAGCACTACAGTGCTGTGCTCCAGCTTGATGTTGTGTGACATAAATATATGTTAGAATAACATTATAAATAGGATTTTTGGACAAGTATTTAGCCCGTGCGGGTTTAAATTGCCCACTCCTCTGACAGCACCGGATGCAAGGTGATGGGGGGAGGGCGCAATTATTCCCAGAATGTAGGTCAAATCTTTCTCCCTGTTTTTTTTTTTTTTTTTTTTTTTTTTACAATGAACATTTCACCTCCACTGAACCTCATATTATTTATACATATAACAGCAAACTCCTCTTTCAGTCATCGTGCGTCTTTTTTTTATTTTTTTATTAATGGTTTCAGCTTCCAGTTGTACATTTTTTTTCTTTTTTTCTTATTCCTGCCGGCTTTTGAATGAAGCTGCATGTTTTGTGCCTTTCATTCACTGGCGCTCCGCTCGCAGCAGGCTGTGCAGCCAATGAGGGCTGAGCAGTGTGAATACTGTCTGTGTAAAGATGTCAAGCGGGGTTTCTGAAAAGCCGGTTTCTGAAGCTGCTGCCATTCATAATGTGGGAATTGGTGCCACTTGCATTTAAATGACTGAAGAAGAAAGAAAAATCTATCATTTGGGATGAATTTGGGTTTTCACCAGTAGTGCAAGTTCATATAGTGTGTTGTTCCCATATGATGCAATATCCAGCATGTTTGCAAGAGGCGTTCTCCCATCACCTCAAACGCCCTATATTGTGGAAATGAATGGAAGCACTCCAACTCTTCCTCCAATACAAACACAGGCATTGTCTTGCATTCCTTCAGTTTTGGTTGTCACACTCAGTCTGAAGTAAAGACACTGTCAGACCTGTTCCCAAATGTTGGTTCTGGGAAATGGTGTGAGGTGAAACATGTTGGAACTGGTTGTCACCCGGTCACAGAGATATGTGTTGTACTGAAATGTGTCTGTCCCCCATGTTGTGAAATAGTTGCCTCTCACCTGTGTTTGGACAGAGGAACTTGTTCCACTTTGAGGAGAAATTGGAGAAAGTGATCAGTTATTTATTTTTTGTTTTTCGGGGGGTGTGTTAATCTCATCTTTCTGACCAGCAAGAGTTACATGATAGGAGATGCTATTCTAAAATATTTAAAAGATAAGGAGCCGTTTCCTGTCGCTCTCTCTGCTCACCTCATGGCCAATCAATTAAACACACCAGACGTCACAGCAACAAACACGAGCACATTTGTTATTTCCCCAGCACTGATTTTTGATCAATAACGCTGCCTTTCGGTCCAATTTTGTCTGTCAAGGTCTGAACTTTAAGCCCATTGAGTAAATACTCAGCGTAAAGTCGGTTTTGGGTGACGTGTCATTGGTTTCAGGGAATGAGAACTGATCTATAAAGTTGCTTGATTCTCCTCCTTCTCTCCCCTACACATACAGGGAAAAGGAAAGTTTAAAGTTAAACCATTTACGTGGGTGGTTTTATTTCTTTTGTATTACCCACAAGGATATCCGTTTGATAAAGACCAGGTTTGTCAACATACAACTGAAGACTATCTTATCTTATGAGGGCAATAATGCACCTTTCGCTTGGAGTCATAAAGAAATGACAATCAATAGTAGATTTCCTTCACAGTCCTCACACCCATGTGACTGTTTGAAGTCATAAGAAATACTACTACTACAGTACAGTGGCAAAAACACCTTGAAGAAATCACCTACTGCTAAAGCTTTAACCATGACCGACAGCGCCATATGTTTGACTTCACCAAGGAGCTATATGATTTACTATGCTGTAGGACATTCATAGCCAAGCATAATTTATGAGTTGTGTTTTCGCCATCCGTTCTTACATGTCAGTAAATATTTCATAAGATTTTTTTTGCAAAAAGCAAATCTTGCCCTTTCTGTATTGGGCTATGAAGATACTAGCTGCTTAGCTGCTACCTGGTGGTGGTCTGTGCTCCTAGTGGTAAACACTTCCCCCCCTTCACCCCTTTTAGGAACAGGTGGCCATGCAGGGTTTTGGAGCCCCTGGGGCCACAGGGAGGAATGGCCTCTAGTAACTTGTCATAAAGTGCTGCCTCTCTGATGTACAGTCTAATTGGTGCTTCCAGTTCACTGGCTTCATTGGGTTCATTAAAGATGGGGGATGGGAGTGCGACTCTGTGTCTTCCGCATATGAATTTTTGCCAGTGGGGTCCATAAACACTGGAAAATGAGATTTCTTTTGTGATTTTTTTTTAACTTGGCATATCAGCAGCAGCTCCCTGATAAAGCCTGATAAATGCAGGCGGCACTGCTTACACACGTATCGTAAGTATACCAGTAAGTAACCACAAGTCAGTATCCCTGAGTTGTGGTTTAGCCATTTATCTGCCCTGTTTAAACAAGTACCAACAGGCACGTGTGTGTCTGTTCATGTGTGTGTCATGCTAGAGTTATTGCCTCCCAGCCCCTTTCTCCTCTGGCAGCAGATTTATCACCATCTTCGCCAACACTCAAAAGACATAGCACCTCCCATAATGAAACCCAGCTTGGGAGGCAGAAGTGAACTAAAACTAACTTTCTTTACATTGCCTGTGATTTGTGACATGAGGCAATGCTGTGTTGGTGTTTGTGTGCTGACCACCGAAAGGTTTTTACAAATTACTACAACAACTGTTGGATGGATTGTCATTAGATCTTGTACAGACATTCATTGTCCCCAGAGGAAACCTAATAACTGTTGTTCCCCTGTACTTACCCCTAGCGCCAGCAGCAGGTTGACATTATGATTTTAGTGACATGTCTTGATAAGTATTGGATGGGACTACCATTTGGATTGGAATTTGGTACATATATTCTTGGTGCCCGGAGGATGAACTCTACTGACTTTGGTGACTTTTTCTTTTGCGCCTCTGTGAAGTTGTCATACCGCCCAGCGCCACTTTGGTGATCCCATAACTTTTCTGTTTGCATCATCAGGTCAAACTTAAATTTGCCCAATACTTAATGACCAAATATCCTGCATCAGCCTCATCTGTACCTTGTGTTTACCGCTAAATAGCATATGTTAGCATGCTAGCACACTGAACTGAGATAGTGAACATTATACCTGCCGAACATCAGCATGTTAGCAGTTCTTTGCACTGCTGTGCCGAAGTGCAGCCTCACAGAGCCGCTAGCAGCCATGCCTGTGTTTATGGGGGTAACTAAAACAAAGGCCCTTTTAGCTGAACTGTGTGTTTATGTCTTTCTGTCATAGATGCATTGACAACATGTGGAACCAATCAGTTCCAGTGTGGGAATGGGAAATGCATCACAGTCAGATGGGTTTGTGATGGCACAGATGACTGCGGAGACGGCACAGATGAACTTCCTGGTACCTGCAGTGAGTATCATGTGATGTCATTGCTTTGCATACCTACATTTGAATACCACAATCCCCTAGTCTGATGATTATGTCGTCTAAGTCACCGTTTTTATTTGTGTATTTCACTTTCAGTGGCCAAAACATGTAGACCGACAGAGTTCAGCTGCGCGGATCGCCTTAACCAGTGTATACCGGGCACATGGCGCTGTGATGGAAAAGCTGACTGTGAGAATGGAGCTGATGAAGAGACCTGTGGTGAGTTGAGTTAACTAAAGGCTGCAAGATTGCCACATATCGGTCTTACCATATCCTCATATATCATATGATTTACCTTTTTTTATTGCTCACAGCTATCGTCCCCTCCCTTCCTGCTTTCTCCAAAGTGTTCCTGCTCTTTCATTACTCTGATCGCCTCGTTGTGTCTCCTCTCTCTTAGCGCCAAAGCAGTGCACAGACAACGAGTTCCGCTGCAGGAACGGCCAGTGCGTGTCGTCCTCGTTCGTGTGCGACGACGAGGCGGACTGTGACGACGGCAGTGACGAGGCCTCCTGCCCGCCCGTCACCTGCAGCCCCACGTCCTTCCAGTGCAACAACACCGTTTGCGTTCCCCGCCTGTGGGCCTGCGATGGTGACTCCGACTGCCCTGACGGCTCCGACGAGTGGCCCCAGAACTGTGGCACCCAGAAACCTGACACTGCTCCCACTCATCAGTGCACATCCCTGGAGTTCAGCTGTGGCAGCGGGGAGTGCATACACGGTAGCTGGAAGTGTGACGGAGGAGCTGACTGCCTCGATCGATCTGACGAAGCTGACTGTGGTGTGTATGGTTGCTAAATTCTCCTCTCTTCTTAACTTTTAAGTCATCACCTCTTGTACTCATTCCAAACGTCTACCCTTTGCATCCCTCTAGCTCGGCCCACCTGCCGTCCTGATGAGTTTGAATGCGGCGATGGTACTTGCATCCATGGTAGCCGCCAGTGCAACCAGCATTACGACTGCAGGGACATGAGTGATGAAATTGGCTGTGTCAATGGTATGAACCTCCTCCCCTACCTTTTCCCGTCCTGGTCGCTAGCAGCTGCATGAACTCTCTCGTTTGTGTTTCTAACCGAATCTTTCATTCCCATGTCTCTTCCACAGCGACCCACTGTGAGGGCCCGACCAGGTTTAAGTGCCGCAGTGGGGAGTGTATTAGCATGGAGAAGGTGTGTGACAAACAGCGTGATTGCAGGGATTGGTCAGATGAGCCTCTTAGGGAATGTGGTGAGTACAGAGGCCTCTCACCATAACTGTCTGGTTAATTACTACTTTAATGCATTTAATGATGGTGTCCGTAGCCTCAGAATGTCAGTTACTGTATGCCGTCAGAAAAAAAGATGCTAAACCTTTTCTTCCACCTTCCTCAGGCTCCAATGAGTGCCTGTACAACAACGGCGGCTGCTCTCATACTTGCAATGACCTGAAGATCGGCTACGAGTGCCTGTGTTCTGCTGGATATCGCCTGGTTGACAAAAAACGCTGTGAAGGTAACATCCTCCCAGACAGATACAATTATAAAATAGTCAATGTGCTTTTTATCTCTCAGTCTTCATGCCAACGTGAACTTCAGTCAGATTAAGAAACGATGCCAAGCGATCTGTTTACTCTGACGCAAACTTTGTCACAGACTGTCCTGTCAAATAAAGACAAAAATTCCATACTTCTTATGGACACAGTGACTCAGCATTGCTACTGTTTCGTTACACTGTCATGTGTGTTTCATTTAATTTGTGTTCCTTTTTCTTTGTATCAGATATCGATGAGTGTGCCAACCCGGACACCTGCAGCCAGATCTGCATCAACCAGATAGGCAGTTACAAATGCCAGTGCGAGGAGGGTTACCAGGTTGACCCAGCGACCAAAGCCTGCAAGGCCATCGGTAAAGCTCTCTGAGTCTTTGTGGCATTATTATGTAACAGATGTTCAAAGATGATGAATAGTGTTCTCAAATGTTATTTTTCCTGTTACGTTTGTGGAGATAATGAATTTAACTACCTCATATGCTCCTAGGTTACTTGTTAGACACAAACTGAAATTGGATTCTCCACACTTTCTGTGTTAGGAAACGAAAACTATAATGAAATTGCAGCTATTGTGCAGAATTCATTGACTCATTTTTCAAAAGGGGATCAAACTTAGGCTAACCTAGCTAGCTAACCTCGAAGCTAGTTAGCCTAGGTTGACAACACTAGGATTGATTCACACAAGACGTTATGTTTAGTTCACGTTTCAACACCTGCTGACTCATTGGCAGCTCCCGCGTACAAAGAAGGGAGTCTAACTAGGATTAGCTGTGTATGTTTTATGGGTCTCATTGTGGTGATGATAGATTAAGGGACTGTCAAAACTCCCAGTCACAGAGTGAGCAACGGCTAACAACATCTCCACACCATCTGGCGTACTGCCTATGTGGCCACTGGAACTGAAGTGATATATTATGAGCTATTTTTAGTGCTGACCCAGACAGACACTGTTCCAATCAAATTACAGTAAACAAAATTCACACTGCCTGGAAAACAAATTAAAAAACCACCTCTTAAACCTACATTTCTTCTTTTGGTAATTACAACTTTGATCAAACGGTACAAAGCTTCCTTGAAAAATATCTTTCAAATTTCAGTTCAACCTTTGGGGGGGATCTAGAGGAGTGGCTAAAAATGCCTGGCCACCCCAGTTTGGTGTTAAAGGCTGTCACATTTAACTCATTCATTTAGATTAATTATAAAAACAATGTGAAATTAATTTGATGATCAGTTATGGCCACATTTCAGACTAAGTGATAGGCTTAAGTTGAATAAAAAAGAAAAGAATGGAATAATGTAAAAAGATTTGGAAACAAAACAATTAATTGCCACTTTTAGATATTTCTATTCAATGCTTTACAAAGATGCAATAATAATGTAATGTTTTTGAGTAAAATATCTTCATATATTGCTTTTCCAAGCATGTCTTCTGGACCTGAAACAAACATAATTTGATATAAAAATCTTATCCTCTCTGATTTTGTAGGTACAATAGCCTATCTTTTCTTCACCAATCGTCACGAGGTCAGAAAGATGACTTTGGACAAAAGTGAGTACACCAGAGTGATCCCCCGTCTTAAGAACGTTGTGGCTCTCGACATGAACATGGCCACCAAAGAGATCTACTGGTCAGACATCTCCCAAAAGAAAATCTACAGGTAAGCAAGAATGAAACCAGAGTGAAAGTGGTGTTTTTCTTTGCTTTGTTCCTGCCTGACACCAGCTCTTCACTTTCAATCCAGAGCTCAGATGGACTCGGCTGAAGACTCCACTCATCACAGCACGATCATCGGTAACGACATCGACGCTCCTGAAGGCATCGCTTTTGACTGGATCCATGGTAACCTGTACTGGACCGACAGCATTCGCAGCACCATCTCCGTGGTAACTGCTGATGGTAGCCGCCGCAAAACTCTCTTCCACCAAGGTTTATCTAAACCCCGCGCGATTGTGGTCGACCCACACACCAAGTAAGTCTAATATAACTAATAAAAGCCTAAATCCTACCCAGACTCTCTAGGATTGTATTGATTACAGTATTTTATTTTTTTATAATATTTTATTTGCAACATATCTGTGTCCTCCCAGCTTCATTTACTGGACTGACTGGGGGAATCAAGCTAAGATTGAGAAAGCAGGCCTTAACGGAGGAGACCGCACCGCTCTGGTCACTGACAACATCGTGTGGCCTAATGGGATTACACTCGGTAAACATTCATGACTCTCCGGTTTCAAGTTGTTTTTTTTATCCATTCATGTCAATGCCAGGGGTCACTCCAGTCTGACCTGTCGACCCCCCCTCCCATTATTCTTCCTCCCCAGACCTGTTGAACCAGCGGCTCTACTGGGTGGACTCTAAGCTGCACACCCTCTCTAGTATCGATGTGCAGGGCGGTGGTCGACGCACCCTCATCATTGACGAGCACAAGCTGGCTCACCCGCTGGGACTCACTGTGTTTGAGGTACATGTTTACCACCTGATAAGCTCTGTTACACATAAACCCAGAGCCTGTCAAATACAACATGCCATAAACTCCTCACTGCATGTGTAAACAGTAGTATTGCTCACTGCTGCTACTACTGTCCCTATAAGTCTTAAAGTTAAAGCTTGGTTGTTTTTTTGTGCTTCTAGGAAAGTGTGTTCTGGACAGACGTCAGTAACAATGCCATCCTCAGTGCAAACAGACTCACGGGTGGTGACATCACACCAGTGGCAGAGCACCTATCGTCACCAGAGGACATTATTCTTTATCATAACCTCAAACAACCCGCTGGTAAGGGACCCCACTCTCACATACTGTCAGAATTCTGGAAAATAAGATAAAATTCAAATTAATAATTTTTTTATTGAGATCTTTCTTGCCAAAGAAAAACAGCAAATAAGGTGTTAAATAAGGTGATGTTTTATGACCTAGTTTAACACCAGAAGGCGTGGCAAAAAAAAAAAAAATTAACATTTACACAAGCAAAGTGGCAAGATGTATGTGTGTCTAAACCCATAATGGTCTAAATAATATAGGCTACAGACTATATCGGGGAAACACTGAATATTTGCAATTTTAGGCATGTACATATTGAATATTTGGACAAAATATTCTAGATCAACTCATTGACTTTAAAGGAATTGTTTTGTTAAATATGGCTGTTTGCAAGCCTTAGCAGAGTGTATTTCAGTATGATAACATTGATAATGGCTTCAAAACATGTAAAGCAGTTAAACTAAACTAGAAAATTCATCCTCTTTTCCCTTGCAGGGAGAAATTGGTGCCAGGTATCCGGCTGTGAATTTTTGTGCCTGGCAGCTCCTCAAGTTGGCAGACATCCCCCCAAATATACCTGCGTCTGTCCAGATAACATGATGCTAGCCAGGGATATGAGGACATGTGTACCTGGTATGTAAATGATCAAAGAGCGATGTACTGAAGTATAATATTGAGGTGAAAATTAGGTGAAATAACTTTTATCTCAATTGTGTTCCTATGTTTCACTCTTCATCTATTTTTGTACTTTGCCAGCTGTGCCAACACCTGCAGCTCCCGTGCAGCCTCGAGTTCCAGCTACCACCCCCCCTCAGCCACCAGTGCCAGCCAGCACCACACCCACTCCCCAGGTCCTTACCACACCCAAGCCCCAGGTTCGCACCACACCCAAGCCCCAGGTTCGCACCACCACAGTGCCCATCCTAATCACCAGCACTGTGGCAAAGCCGGTGCCACGCTCCACCAAGCCTCCTGTAAGGACCACCACACCTGAACCTAGGACCCCGTCCCCCCAGACAGTGAAGCCTAAAATTCCCCAGACCACCACGGAGACTCCAGTTACCTCTCCAGGCAAGTTGAAATACCATAATGGTGGTTTTGTGTATTTTAGATAGTTAATATATTCAATATCTATAATTTAATTCAAATTGTAGAAAGTTCGCTTTACATTCATGTTGACCATTTAAAAAAAAAAAGGTTTAGACATTAACCAAACATGGACACAGGGAAAAGGATTGTGTGACTAGGTAGTTCCTTGTAATAGTTTCCTGCTGGGCAGCTGATTCTCAGGTCTTATCAGGTTGTAGAGATTCTCACAAGAACTTAAAGACACCACAAAATAAGTAATTGACAAACAGTTCCCACCTGCAACTACATTACCACATGACAAGTCTCTTAAAGTTTATTATCATACTGCACTGCTCGGATTAACCAATGGATGTTGGTAATCTGTTTAAAAGTGGTATTGTAAGCATGGTATGTTATGGGGAAATAGCTGTCACTAATGTAGAGTATATACTCTTTGAGGTCAGCGGGATAAAAACGTGCAAAGCCAGCAGCGTGGCCCTATGAGTGCGTTGCTCTCCCAGCTCTGACACACATACAACGTGCAGGTCAGCTTCATGTATCATTAACTTCTTTCCTTGTGTTTACCTTTCCCTCAGATTTCCGACATGGATTTGCTGCAGCTATCCCCAACCCTGCCTCCACCACCCCGATAGCTCTGTATATCGTTATACCTCTGGGTGAGTTGCTTTGTCAGTTCCCGCAATGATGGTTTCTTCACAGAAAATACGAATTATTTGAAGTTATAACACCATCGTGTCTCTTCTCCTGCTCCCTGTGTGTAGCGATCGTTTGTCTTGTGGCTGTTGGTGGTATGCTGCTATGGAGGAACTACAGGAGGAAGAACACCAACACGATTCACTTTGACAACCCCGTCTATCAGAAAACCACTGAGGACCAGGTGCACATTTGGAGGAGCCACAGCCCTGACGGTTACTCCTACCCAAAAGTGAGTCTAAGAGGAGTCACTTCAACTTAACTGTTTAAATTTTACTGAGATAAACCAATATCGATCCATATTACATGTTTTCATCAGCTAATGAAATCTGATTGGATTCCTCCTTCAACAACTGCACATACAGGCTACAGTTCCTGTCTGACATCCTTTTTATTTGCTCTCAGAGACAGGTTGTGAGCTTGGATGAAGAGGCGGACAATCCAGCCTTCACAGAAAACTGAACAATATCGGGCAGGGCGGAAAGAAGAGCCTCGACGATAAGCTACCTTAGACGTCCTTTTTTGTATTTTTTTACCTCACACAGCACAAAGATATGGAAGTCAAAGCCAGTATCAGACAAGCTTGAACCACAATATCCTCACAGATGAACAAGCGCTCTACAGTGGAGAAACCAGGGTGAAACTTTTTTTTTCAGGTTGCAAATTTTTTGCCATCAAGTGAACAGCTGACAATCCATTCCTCAAAAAATCATACCAAATCATCAGATGCTGGATTCCTCCATCTAACTTTTTTTTTACCTGCTATCCTAACCGTGAAGTTGATGACATAACTGGAGAACTGGAGTGTCACTGCTAAAGCCACATGATGTCTTATAATGTCATAATGTCTTTCAAGCAGCGGTTTAACTGAGCTCATTTAACGAAAATTATAATTGGGAATTTCCTCTGACTTTTGTAATGTAGAATTCACCAATGAGTGTTGTAAATATCAGTTTATTTTTGTTTTAAATTTTATTTCTGAATATTATCATATCTTATTTGCTTTCTCTGCCACTCTCATATTTGTACAGTAAGCTTAGCTCAAACAGTAACCTGACTGTGCCAGATGATTTGTCACACAGAACCATCTAGGAAGTCACTGTTCCACATGTTTGGAAAAGGGCAGGCACTTCTAAAAAATATTCAGCAGGTGACTGGAAGATCTGTCTATGATTGTTTGTCACTTTATCTTCAACCAATCAGATCAAGGAACCATATAATGTAGTCAAACTCTCTCAAAGCCAGTCGGGAGAAAAGACGAAACATTTTTTATACCAAGACTTCAATACTCTCCAGTTCTGATTTAACTGATACTAGAAGCATCTACGCTAACCTTACTTTTCACACACTGTTTAACACTCAACAACTCATACTGTAGCTGTCAGTAGTTCCTCATAGGATGCTGATTGGTCCGAACAACTGTGGTTTGGATAGATAGATTGAAGCCTGGCAAGATAGACTCTTACGTGATCTTGTAATTTTGTGATCTTGAGAGTCCAGCTGCTTCGCAAGGTTACTCAAAAACTTAGAGGTGCTGATTGATGGATTTTGTTACCTTTGGACAGAGGCAGACTAACTGTTTCTTTTTGTTTCCAGTCTTTATGGTAAGCTAAGATTTTTACATTCAGCTCAAGCTCCTGCACAGACATGAGAGTGGAATCAATCTTCACCTTTCCCAAAATGGCGAATGTTTTCGTTGTCTTTTCTCTTTGTTTGTTGGAAACAAGAAAATCGGAACCTGACTTTTATCCCAAGACAAACACTTGATCGAGCGGATTTAAAGTTGAGCATGCAGTAGATGAATTTAATAAGAATCCTGCATGTGCCAGTTTAACCAGTGTGACCTCAAAAAGTCTCATAATGATGTGTGTGTGTGTATGTGTAACTTTGAGTTTAAACCAGCTATTGCCTCAGTAGTGGAGCAAAAATGCCACCCGAAAGGACCTGAAGACACTGCTGTAGTTGAGCTCCAAGAATAGATCTGTGCCTTGATACTGTGCTCTGTATTAACTTTCAGATTTTCACAACAACACTGCGTTCTTCAGCAGCTGTTTGTCATTTATGAGTTTCAGCTCCATTCTCTTGATTTGTGATCGGCTGTCTGTGCACTGGAGGACCATCTTTAAATTTTCCCTCCTTATGCCCCTCTCGGGAGAACCAGTGCATTCCTCAAAGACTGAAACGCTTTGATGCAACCACGTGTGACCAATCGGGCCGTGTCTAATGCTCTGTATCATGACACGTGTATATTTACATCCTCCCTTAGGACCAGAACCTCAACTTGCCTTATACCAGCATTCCTGACAAAAGAAAGCCATGTGCCCTATCGTGTTTTTTTAAAAACACAGTTCTCAGCGGCTGTTTGAGCTCATTTATTTGTATTGCTGACAAATGTGTGCCTTTTTAATGAAATATTTTATTCACATGTTCCTGTTGGTGCTATTGAACTCGGTAGAAATGTTTGAAATCAGAGTGTCGGCCTGTTTACAGTGAATTGTTTGAGGCATGTGGCAGTGTTACATGCAGGTGAGGTTATACCTAACAAAGACGTTGTTGTGATGTGGGTTATGACTGTCAAAAGGCTTTTAGGTAGAAAAAAAAGTGCTAGTGAAGCTGTACATAAAGTAATTTTACATTCACCGACGTAACAGTGCAGAATAAGCGTGTAAATATAATGTTCATAAATGTACATATTTGGTCTTTACTGTTTTCTGGTAATAATGTCACTGTTTTAGACTTTGTTGTAAACTTTAAAAAATTGCTGTACATAAATAAATGCTTCTATTTATTATAGAATAACTTTTCTGTGTTCAGTTTTTGTCTTAATTTACTTTGATTCACATTATTAATATATCAGACTGGTTTTAATAAAAGGATACAGAAAACAATAATAGCTGACAGACTGCTAGACAAGAAGATGTTCACTAGAAACATGTGCACAGAAGTATGAGAGCTAAATATTATAACGAGAAAGAATGTGAAATAAAATGTGAAATATTCATGAGGATATGCTAAATTATGGAAAATATGCTCTACCTTAAACCAGTGGGTCCTTTTTTGTCTAATGCACCCCCAAAGCTGTGTCAGACGAGCTTATGCACCCCTTCATACAACCATCACATGTTCCAAAACTGGATGTTAATTTAACACAATACAAAAGTTGATACAGTTACAGTGATATCTTTCCTTTTGGTCTAGCCTAAACTTAGCTAATTCCACTGTTTATCTGTTAACTTGGCTAGTTAAACTGTTTATCCATTACTTTTAATTATTGAAATGATATAGCCAACCATTTCAACTGTTAGCCTACCTTTCGCTATCTCAACTGTTTATCTATTAGCTAACTATCTCAGCTATTAACCTACTTTTAGAAAGTTCTCTCTTCTCTTTCACATGGAAAAGATCAGCATCACACCAACTTGTAATACTATTTGGTTAATTATTTTACTCCTCAGGACAAATCTGTAGATACATTTTTACATCATATCAGAATTGCTATTGTTTATTTGAGTTGGTTGAATTTAATCGAGTTAATATGTTGAGCTAATCTTTTGCTGTTCCCTGTTTGGAAATCACAGCCATATACAATGTAGTACTTTACACAAAGAAACTTATTTGAATTTCTTTTTTTTTTTTTCATTAAGTTCCTTTTTTTTTCCTTTTAAATTTTTCTGAAATTTCTTAACAAGAACATCTGGATTGGCACTTTTTTTCCTTTTTTACTACATGGTGCAAAACCATGTCTCACTTCCTATTTCTGTGTTCTTATCATGCATGGCTGAAATGCTGGTTAAGGTATGTGGCAGATGGAAAGTTTTGAAAAATGTACAGCAGCATGTTTCCACTGTTTTCATCCAGTCGCTTTGGTATGCAGACATGGCAGAAAACGTGCAGTGGGGGATTTTTTTTTTCTCTCTCCATTTGGGGCCGGCTGTGCTGTTGTTGCTCTTCTGTGGAACAGACGACCCTATTCCTAGAAAGTCAAGCCATTACAGTGAAAGGCAACACCACTCACAAGTCTTCAACACTGTGAGAAAAGAAAAGAAACTACAAGAAAGAAGTTTATATATTCTGAATACGGGAATAAATATCCCTCATAATTTGGTAATTGCTTCCAATGACTCCTGGCACAGCTTGGAAGACATATTTATGAGCAGTTTGTAATGTGTTTACAAAAAAAACAAGAATTTTGATTCACACTCTGAAAGGTGTAATGAGTTCTCACCTCTTAAGATTGTGTAACAAAATTACTGTATATAGCCATAGCTTTAATAAACAATGTTTACCTTCAGTCACTGAAATCCATGTTTTGTGGTGGCTTTAAGAATAAGCCATAACAACAGCTATCAGAGAAGAGAAGAAAAACAACAGCTTTGTGACCCCCCCCCCAGCTATGAGGTCACACCCACCAGTAGGCATGCCACGTGCAAAGTTCAAGGCTGAGGAAGAGCGGAAGTGTTGAGGTGATAACACCAGTCAGGGAAAAGACGCAGTGACACATCTATAGAAAGGAGGGTAAACATACAGATAAGAAAATAGGCAGTTCATACCGACTTTCAGAACTCTGTGAGGAATATGTAAATATGGTTATTAAAGCAGTTGTATCCATCATCGATCAATCCGAACGTTTCGTCAGATCAGTCATCGAGACTCCCAATCCTGCCGGACAATTTGTTTTTGTTTGCACAGACTGCACAAAGAACCTGCTTTTCAAAGAACAGTTTAATCTGAATCCAACAACATCATTAATCATTAATGTAACTGCAATGGTCAGGTACGACAAGCTGGATCATTCCAGTTACTTCCACAGATGAATGGATTAAATTCTGCTGAAGTCATGGAGTGTTTTTCTACTCACTACACAGAAATCCTTAACATCCTTACTTACTGTGGACTTACTTACTTACTCTGATTCCGCACATTAGGAGCACACTTTAATTTAATTTATTTACTTTACTTATTTACTAATGTGTATGACATCATTAATAACCAGTTAAAGCTTATTGTATATATATATATGTCTATATATATATATATACATAGACATATATAGGCATCATATATTCTGATGACATTTTTGAGCAGGTTCCAATAAATGTTATCTGATGTTGAAGACATGTGCTTTCCCAAAGTGTGAGGATACGACATTACAGCTCACCTGATTCTACATAAACAAAACCAACCAGTCGGCTGCCCAACCATTGCTGACCTTTGCTCAGACTGTGAGACAGACCTGCCTTATTTGGGAGGCACACACTACTCACCAGACAAGAGTTTGACCAATGGTGCTACTAACAATATTTGATCAAAGGTGTTCACAGAGTTTTTTTAATAGCTTATACTCACTTTATACTCATTCTTACAACCAGATATCATATTCTCGGAAATTTTGTCCCCCTCAAGCAAGTAAAAAAACCAAATGCACAAGACACAAATTTGAGTGTAATCAAAAATCCTTGGAACTCAGAAGATTGTATTTGTCCAGAGTCCAAGTGACTATTTGTCCAGCCTGTCTCCAACATGTAATACAATAAGACGTAGGAGGCGATTATATCATGCGTAGATATCTTGGCTACATCCATAGGAAGACAATTTGTAATTTGTCTAAAATGGCGTAGGACTGGGGGGAAAATGGAGACGGAGTATACAAGACCATTGTGTGAGGAGGGCCCACAAAGATACTAGAATGAATAGCCATAGATGCAGGGAGGGGCCCATAGAGAATATCTATGCACAGGGTCCTACGCCTCTGTAGGGCAGTATATTGGTTTTGTAGAAAAAACATACTTTGTCTTTCCAATACTCAAACTAAAAGATGATCGATCAACCCAATATGTGATAGCAAAGCAGTTGTTAGCTTTACAGCTGCTAGCTCAGCTGTTTTTGAGTGTGTCAACAGCGGCATCGTTTGCTGACTTATTGTGGAAGATTGTTAAGACTAAAGACGAAAAATAGTGGGCCTACCACTGATCCTTGAGGCACATCCATTGTTTACTTAATGTTATTGCATCATTGGCTTTAACCCTGCATCCTATTAGATAATTATGAAGAAATCCATGCCAGTGTTTTAGATGAAAAATGAAAAAAAGCACCAACTCCTCCTCCTTTATCAATCCCATTTGCTATATTAGGTGTGAAATATTTGTTCTTGTGTTAAGATAAGTTTTCAGTTGACTTTATCAGCAACTTTTGAAGGTACCGATGCTAATGGGTCAGTATTACTGACTTCTAAAAAAAGGAGTGGTGTGTTTTCTAAGGAAAGGGTTCGGGCCTTTTAAAGGGACATTACAATGTATATGTGATGGACTACAGGGTCTTCAGACTCACAGTGATTACTCTCGTTTATGCCACACACCAGAGCCATATGTGGATGATCAATATTCTGTGCCCGAAACAGGTCAGAGCCTGTCTTCTGATATGACGTGAGTGATATTGTTCAGTTTCAGGGGACATTCTCGATTGTCATTGGCCCATATCGATGCTATCATGAGACATATCTGTGTCAGTGAAGTCAAGTTTATTCTGGGAACTCTTCCAATAGTCTCATCTTGTTCGTCCCAACCTGCTCTTGGGACATGACATTGTAATGTTTGATCTCAGTCATCGCACAGCCTCGCCCCCTCAGTTCTTTCCACATTAACTAAAGATCCTCTGCAGTTGTCTGGGAAAGACAAAACGTTCTGTTCGATGAGTAACTCTGCAATCAGACCCACTTTACTGATCAGTTATATAATTTCCCCTTGTTGGATATGTTATTTACACACTTACTGGAAGTGACTGACAAACAAACATTAACAATGACTGAGTTTTACTGTCGCTCTGTGTCAGATATTGTTTTTTGTATTTTGTAAATGGAGTAAAACTAAATAACTCGACGCCCAGTAACAACTTGGTGTTTATAGGGGAAGGTTACAAACACTTGTGCTGACGGTGTCCACTTTTGATCTTCTAAGTTTTCAAAGATAATTAAATTTAAAGTTAAGGTGATCATCATTTTTGCCCTTTCTCTTGTAATGATGGGTGTTATAAAACGTTTGACTCTCAGTCTAGCTTCTTTATTGCAACAATACATGGTATACCCTAGTTTAAATAAAACATTATAAATAAAATGTACTGACGAAATTGAAGACAATAAATTGTAGGAAAAAAATAGATAAATAAGACAGATAAAAGAAGAAGGCAGTGTATTTGTTCTCAGGGGTTAATTCAAATGTATTTCTATGATGTTTTTTCCTGCTGTTCTTCTAAGAGAAACATAAATAAGCAGTGAGTTACACTCAAATATAAAATGTGGACAAGTTTGTAACTAATAATGTTGGGAATGTTTTTTAAAAAAAATAAATTACATCTGTCTGTCACAGCAGAAACATTTAAGGTTTAAATGATGTGCAGTATTAGTGAAACTGAAAATAACCTTTAAAAAGGTTTTAATTGGGAAACATTAGTATTAGTGCGCCCCCTGCAGGGCAGTGTACGTAATCTTTGACCTGTGCACCGGAAACCACGTGGTTAAGCTGTTCACACGCGCATGTTGCAGCTGGTATGACTTCCCTTCACTAGTGTGTAGTTTTCATTACAGCTTAAAGCTATCTCCTTTAATTTAAAACCATGTCAGACAAGTCGGGGTTGAAAATTAACTCGCAGTTCGCCGTGAAATACGAGAAATACCGACAGAGAGAAGAGCTACAGAGACGTAAGTGTGACACTGCTCGCTAACTATCAGGCTAACAACCCAACGTGGGACAGTGCGGCTAGCTCTAAGTTGTTTTTCTCTCATGTTATGTGTTGGTTTAATATCTGTGTGTGTCCTGTGTTGTTGTTTTTGTTGTTGTTGCTGCAGTGAAGGACCGATATGGAGACCGAGCTGATGAGAGTGACTCTGAGTCGTCTGAGTCCAGCTCTGATGACAGTGAAGTGGTTAGCATGGCTTCTGTTTCCAGACTATCAGTGGATACCGGTAACGTGTCTGTGGGTTTAATGGGCTGTCTCTCTTGTATTTGCTCTCCCAGGAGCTGGACCCTGAAGTCGAAAGGGATTTCTACAGAACATTGTCACTGCTGAAGAAGAGAGACCCCAAGATCTATCAGGCAGATGTCAAGTTTTACTCAGAAGGTGATTGTTGGGTGTTACTGTCATTGGTGCTGCTTTCACTGCCACTAGGACGTCTTTATTTTATAAATAAGATCTCTAAATGTCTTCCTTTCAGGTGCATCCACCAGTGATGAGAAGCCGTCAACTTCAAAGAAAGCAGTAAAGCCCATGTACCTGAAAGACTATGAACGTAAAGTCATACTGGAGAAGGAAGGGTGAGTGAGCTACTGATGTGCATCATTTACAGTGTTTGACAGCACCACAATCACATTTCTGGGTCCATAGTCATAATGTGTCTCAGATAGGGCAGCACGATATGGTAAAGACATCATACTGCAATGTTTTGACAGATGCTGCGATTGCAATATGATTCACGATTATTTAGCATCACTAATTCAATTTTCACTGAAAAAAAAAACCTAGAGTACTTCTTAAGAACAGGATTTGTAGGCCAGGGTGTCTCTGCAGCACTACAGTACTAAATGATAATACTGTTACACATTTTATCTTTGTCAATAATATTTGGATAATATTTCCATTAATTGTGCAGCTCAGTCTTATATTAGGAAATCAGTCCCAGCTGTCCAGAAATTCTCAGAGTGATGCATTTTTTTTGGTCCTAGCATCAGGACTATCAATTTAATTATCTTATGAATTACCTATATCTTTACTCCAGAGGTGTCCAAATGGCAGGATGTGATGTTTAGTCACATTTACCATTTAAAAACTGTAAATTTGGCAAATGATGACTATATATATTTCACTTTTCTGGCTGACCTTGTGCGGGATATAAAAGAAAGCACATCTCTCTCTCTCTCTCTCTTTGTAATAACAAAAGGGGCCTAGCTAAGACTGCTAACCGAAATGTTATCAATCGCAATATGGCCAAGTTCAATATCCAAATTGCATAAGCTGCCATTTAAAATGTAAAATGTGTGATAAAACAGAATTATAATGAAGTACTGATTTTATTTTTTAATTTAACACACTACTACTTGAGTCTTGCCAGCAGTTTTTTATATTTGTGGCAACTTGTTTTATTTTGCATATATAACCTAGAAAGCTCTATCACGTGTTGTGTAATTATACAAATAAAGCTTACTATTATAAAACTACCTTACGTTTAATAAGTGCATGCTCTGATTTTCTTTTTTCTTTTTGTTTTGCAGCAAATATGAGGATGATGACGACAGTGATGATGAGGAGGCTGCCAAAAGAATGGAGGTAGACCAAATAATAGTTACCAAATAATGTTGTTCCCTCTGTAATGTGGAGATACTTACCAGTGACAGATGTTTTATTAATCATCATTGTTTTCTTTCAAAGAGAGCTGCCTCTCCGAGCTACATTCAGGAGCAGAAAGCGCTGAAGGAGAGGTAGGACTCAAACAAGATGATGAAGGCAATATAACTCGCAGACTGTTTGTGCAAACCAAAACTCTCTCTCTCTCTCTCTCTCTCTCTCTCTCTCTCTCTCTCTCTCTCTCTCTCTCCAGCTTCCGCAAGTTCATCCAGGACAGTGACGACGATGACAATGAGGTCAGCAAGGGAGGTGGAGAATCCCAGCTGCTGACCAGGAGGGTCAAAACACAGGAAGAGAAGGTCAGAAACTGTGACCGGTTACTCTCCATCTTCAGATTAAAGACGTACAAAAGCATTTCAGATCAGTATAAACATCTCTGCTTCTGCTTTTGTTTGTAGGATAAAGAAGAGGCAGACTTTGTGGAGTGGCTGAAAGGCCAGGCTGAGCTTGAGGGTTCGGAGGAGGTCAAGGACATGGTGTGTGTGTGTGTGTGTGTGTGTGTGAGAGAGAGAGAGAGTGTGAGAGAGAGAGAGAGAGTGTGAGAGAGAGAAAGGGTAGAATGTGAGAGCCTCGTGTTTAACTTACTAATGAGGGTGGTTTGTGTTGAGACAGAAATACTTGAGGGAATACTGGAACGACCCAGAGTTGGATGAGAAGGAGCGTTTCCTGAGAGACTATGTCCTTAACAAGGGCTACCTAGACGAGGATGAGCATGATGAACGGTATGTTGCTTCCTGTATGGATGTTAGTTTAGTTTTCCTAGCGAGCTGTGAAGTGAGGGGAAGATGAAGCATTCATATGCAGCCTAAAAGCAACATGTCCAATATCTGCTCTAAGGATCCCAACCTACGATGAGGTGGTCCAGGATGATGTGGAGGACTCTGAAGAGGAAGGGGAGACTTTCTTGGAGCGGCAGGACAACTTTGAGAGAAACTACAACTTCCGCTTTGAAGAGCCCGGTGCTCAGCAGATCAAGACATACCCTCGCAGCATCGCCACGTCTGTGCGCTCCAAAGACGACAGCAGGAAACGCAAAAGGGAGGAAGTGAAAGAAAGGAAACAAAAGGTGCATTTCATGTAAAAAAAAAAAAAAAAAAAGAAAACTCTTACTATTAACCTTTGCTTTTTCTGCTTCCCAGTATATAATCCCTAATTCATGAGCTAATACAAACCAACCTTCCTCTGCATTTCTGTCGCTCCTTTTTCCAACAACTATTTCAGGAGAAAGAGCAGAAGCGTGAGCAGCTGAAGCAGCTGAAGAACTTGAAGCGAAATGAGATCATGGAGAAGCTGAAGAGGCTTCAGGAGCTGACTGGCAACGAGCAGCTCGCCTTCAGTCAGGCTGACCTGGAGGGAGAATTTGATCCACAACAACACGAGCAGCTCATGCAGGTGGGTGTATACGCACACAGGTAACGTACAACGCACAGTTAAACAATTGTGCAGGACAGCCTCAGTTTTTCTGTGTGAATTGGTATTTGTGTGCTCACTGAATTGGCCAATAGCTGAACTCCAAACAGCGATTGTCCAGTCATAGCTCAGCAGTCCTAACAGGTTGCAGCATGTCTGCATTTACTCTGTATTTAAAGAGTTTTAAGGGTGGGGTCATTTTTTTTTTTTTTAGAAACTCAAAATACAAGTATAAAGAATAAACAGTGTTTGTTCTACTCAAACGTTAGCATGCCGGACTAACTAGTTACAGCAGTAACCAAACTCAGCGTTACTTCCAAAGAAAAAGAGCACATAATTCTATTTATTGTTTTTCAGGTTATGGTAGAATGAAAAAAAAAGTTTTATAATTGTAATGTGGATACTTACAAGACTTAATTGCGCCACACTTCAATGCAAAAACAATGCAGATCCTTTATTTCTTTTTATGTTAACATCAGTCATCAGCTGGTGAGGACGTTGACTTTTTTCCAGAGACATGTAGCTTTAGTCTTTAGTATTTTCATGTATGTAGCCATCAAGTGACAAGATTACAACACAATTACAAGATTCTTCTTTTAAAGTGAGTCAGCTGGAAAGATTAAAAAGTCAGCCAGAGCATGTTGTTTTTTTATTTTATTATTTTAAATATATGTTTATTATTTTGAGAACATACTGTAGCAAGAATACAAACAGGCAGTCATAATTAAATTAAATGCAAAGCATGTTTTCCTCTGAAAAAATCTCACACAGGTCCTCACACAGGTGTACTGCATTTGGCTAATTAGACCACCTCCCATTTAAACCAGCCACCCTGCATGCTAGTTGTTAGAGACACTTCTACCACAGCAGAAGTGACATTGAACTCCCAATCAGTGATATTTGGTTGGTTTTTTTCCCTTCCTGTTTGCAGAAATTCTTTGGAGATGAATACTACGGGGAAGAAGAAGTGGAAAAGCCTCAGTTTGATGATGATGATGAGGAACTTGAGGGTAAGTTTGTGTTTTCTTCATGTTAATTGATACAGCAGTTTGCAAACAATCTGTCAGGAATTTTTTTTGTTTGTTTGATTGCACAATACAATTGGGAAGAAATGTTGGTTCAGCATATTGCATTAAAGTATTGTACACTCTGAATATGGCTGTTTGTGTGTGTGTGTGCACAGGGCACTGGAACTGGGACACATGGACAGGAGAGGAACAAGAGGACGGCTTGGGTGAACAGTACAGCGGAGCGGAGTATGATGCCTCAGAGCCACACTGTGACGATGAAGGCTTCATTGTGAGTGGACTCAACATTTTTTTTACTCTTTCAGTTAGTCACCTGGACAACATTTTTTGCTCTGGTAAAGAGAAACTTGCTCACCTAAAGTCAACCTGTTGAAATAGATGGATGCAGACTACGACCCCAACCAGCAGACTGCCTCAAAGAAGAAGAAGAAAAAGGAGAAGAAGAAGATGAAGAAAGAGGATATTCCACAAATGGGCAAGAAGAGAAAAAAGTCTCACTTTGCAGAGGTCATCACTAAAAGCAAGCCTGTGTTTGATCCACGTAAGTGTCAGTAAAACTTGCTGCCACTGAAACTTAACTATCCTGGTAACATCCAGTTAATATGAGTAGTTGTCTAACTGAAGGCTATTTGTCTTTCAGAGGAGAAGAGTTTCGAGCAGTACTTGGATGAGTATTATAAGCTGGACTATGAGGACATCATTGACGACCTCCCGTGCAGGTTCCGCTACAGACCGGTCTTGGCCAACGACTTCGGCCTGACCACTGAAGAGGTGAGCGCAGCAGCGCCTCCGCCAACTCCAATAACTGACCGTTCACTAAGCCCCGCACCCCCTTTTGTTACTGTTTCTATGGCTGTCAAACTTTCCATTCTCGCTCAGTTTACAATAACAGTGGCAGATTTACAGTCAAAATATTCTTAAGTTTTTCATGATTTATGGTTCAGACGTCTTATTTCCAGCTGGCAATTGTTGATTTTTGCCATCTGAAATGTAAACTTGGGCAAAATTGCCATGTAGAGCTAGTTAGTGAGAGTATTAAGGGCATGATAAGGAAAAGTGTAAGTTTGGACTGTTATTTTGTTCTAATATTAGCAAGTTTGGCAAATCCAATAAAGAGGACAGAGCTGCTGAGGTTAGCTTTACCTTTGGCATCCAGGACCGGCTCACAGTGGATATACTGATATGTTGTGAAAGGTTTTTTTTATTTTATTTTTTAAATCTGCAACCCTACAAAATAATGCAGTATGAAATGACGCCTGGTTTCTACTGTAGGCAGTAAACAAGTTAGTCGGTTAAGCTAAGGATTGCAGCTCATGCTAGAGCAGACAAACTCGCTGTTTATCCGACCCCTACACTTTTGCTCTTGTAATTTTGGTTGGTGTTTAAAAAAAGAAACCTCCATCCAGACTCTTTGTCTCCTTTTACTACAGCCTCATACACACAAACTTCAACATGTGGAGAAATCCTTCACAGACCTGATGTTTGTCGTTAAGGCTGCTAAACAATGATTGGACAGCTGCTGTTCGGGGGGGAAGGGGGTTTAATGAACAGTTAAAACAGAATGTAGGCTGACTGTATGTTGGTTCATAATGCTGCAGTGATGAGTTTTGAGGTGACTGATCTGGTATTGCTTTTCCTCCGGGGAGAGCTCTGACCAGGGAATGATCTCAATTTAATCTTCTCTCTGAGCAGACCACACAGTGATTAGATAAAGCAGCAGCATATAAGAAGTCCAGTGTGTTACAAATAGACATGAGTTGTTGATTTGGACTTATTAAACACTCTTCTTTCATCCCTCAGATTTTAAATGCTAACGATAAGGAGCTGAACCATTGGTGCTCTCTGAAGAAGACCTGCATGTTCAGGTACCGACTCTGTCCTTCATGTTAACGTGTCGCATCTGTTCTGCTGCCTCAGGTCATTCACTACACTTGGATTATTTTATTTTGTTCTCTCAGGTCTGACAAGGAAGAGATGAGTGATTTGAAGAACTATAAAATCAAGGCCCAGAATGACAAGAAGAAGAAAGAAATTCTGAGCTCTGTATATTCTGAGTGAGTAAAACACAATGCACATGCTAATCAGTTGTACCGTTGCCATGACTGTAGCATTATGTAACAATGGTTATCTGTCTACAGGGAAGATAAAGAGGGGGCAGAGGCTAAGAACAAGGTGGGGAAGAAGAGAAGGGACCGTCTGAAGAACGCTGAGAACGAAGGCAGAGGAGCGGAGGACGGTGACGTAATGGACTCTGCAGAAGAGACACTCGCCCAAGCTCTCAGAGAGGCAGGGGACGAGGCGGGAGAAGAGAAGGAAGAAGAGATTCTGATACCCAAGAAAAAGATGAAACAGGAAGAGGAGCCTCAGGCAGTGGTTACTGCTGAGGAAGAGGAAGCGGCAGCAGATAAAGCTGCTGAGGTGAAAAGCAGGACTGAGAGGCCAAAATGGTCCAAGAGGAAGCACAAGCATGCAGGTGGACGCCTCACATCAGGAACTTTCGGGGTGAAAATAGGCGGCCGGGAGTTCAGTAGACAGAGACTGAAGGCCTATGGCCTGAACCCCAAGAGACTCTTCTTCAGGCAGCTCGGCAGACAGAAACGAAAAGCACAGGAGAAGAAAGAAAAGCAGAAAAACAAGGAGTGATAGCAGCTTGCACCAATCGACCATCTCGGAGATAACTGCTGACAGTACAATCCGTTGTTTTTTTTTTTTTTTTTTTTCATAATAAAGTAAAGACATTATGGAAAATGTAACATTTCCATTGTTTTATGGCCTCACGTTGAGCTTTTTGATTAAAGGGGTTAAGAAAATGTTTCATTGGTGGCTACAAATTGTGACTTTAACTCTGATTCGAATGCTTATACTTGATTTGAGTATAAAACCCTTTTTGAACTTATTTGTCTTGCTACATTCATATTTTGTTTAGATTTCACAAACTGTAATAAACATGCAGTTAAAATCTGATCCCTGTACATTTTTAAAAATGTAATTTTTGACTCAGTAAAAAGATTCTTTATGCTCAATAAGATGTTCCTCCATTTTCTTTGAAGTATTTCCTAATTTAACCCACATCTGCAAGCAGGAAATGTGTCCTTCCACAGCTGATTCAATGATGTTTAACTATTTCTTATCCACCTGGGTCAAACCATGTGATATAGAATTAAACTAGAACAGTACATGCCTGTAATGTGTGGATTACATAGAAGTAGATGTGAAACTCACAGTTGTAGCTCCTCTTATGACCCTATTCAGTTTTATTGATTTCTGTGAAAAATACTTTTAAGGATGGATAAACACAACTTGTAAATGGTAATGGTTTTCTGTCCTTAATTGGGTTGTAGGGCTCCCCAGCAAAAGGAGGAATAGAATACGTTAACTTTTATCACATTTTTTGGACGTTAGAACAAGAGAAGAAATGGGGTTGACCGCTTTGAGATTGATTATAATTTATAGTGATACTACTTCGATCATTGATTCACTATGAATACTTTATTTTCAAACCTAAAACAATAAATTACTCAAGGGGGATTCTGTAAAATGTAATCCTCTAAAACTGTAAATCTTTTGTCTGGGTCCTTGACATAAAAAGTTTGGGAACCCTATCTTAATAGCTACTGTCTTATTGAGATTATACAGATTGTATATCAAGGGAGTCATTTACTTAAAAAAAACTTTTGGTTCTACTATATTTAATACTCTAGACTTATTACCCCTAAAACTGTATTGGTTTGTGCATGATCACACTGAGCATACTGAAACCACAGTGATTATACATTTTTTTATTTGATATTTTCTAATGACAAATTAGAAAATATATTAAGTGGAAAAGAAACTAGAAATATTAAATTCGGATGAAAAACAAGGAACAGGAAAGAAATAATGTTTACTACAAAAACAAAAACCGCTGCTCCCTCCTGTACGGTAGGTGGGGGTACGCACATGAGAGGTTATTCGTAATCCGCCAATGACCAAAGAAGAAGAAGAAGAGGCGCGCTCAGTGTCTGAATTTGAATCCCGGAAAAGATCTGACCGGTACGTTGTTTTTATATATTTTTACCATAAATAAGCTAAGTTCTTCTACAAACACCGTCCTTATGAGTTAGTTAAAGAGTCGATAACACTGGTTGCAGCGTTTACTGTGCGTCAGTCTCACTGTTTGATAGGTTACCGAGCAACGTAACGTTAACTAACGTTTAACGCTACACTACATTAACGTAAACAAAACACAGCGAGGAGGCTTTACAGTTAATAACCAGTGTTACAGGTAGGTTGTTTTAATAACCACTGTCTTATACTTACATGTCTAGTAGGTTGCTTTGACGCTAAAATTGAGCGTAAGGTTTTTTTATTTTTTATTCTGTTCCTTAAAATACTTCACTTTTTGCTCGACTGCTTTTATTTGAGAGCTACTTAAAGATACTGCGTGATGTTATGAAACTACAATATTACTAAGTTACTGCTGCTGAAGAAGTTACAGGACATTTACATGTTATGGAGTATTATTACGCTGTTTTACTGCCACTATTATTGAAGTAACTCATCTGAATGTTTCTCCCACCACTGGAACAGGAGACTTTGTTGTTTATTGTTGTTTATAATGTGCAGCTTAATAAACCTTAATCACTCAGAGAAGCACACAGTATTATTAGTTATATCTCCTCTGTCATGTGTTTTCTTGCTGCCAGTGTCTCCACAATGTCTCAAGGTCATAAATTTCAAGACTTTGAGGAGGTGGGCGAAGAGTTTGTGGCCTACATCAACAGCACCCAACCTGAGAAACTGAGGCGGGTGAAAGATGAACAGCAGGCTCTTTTTGATCGACACACAGAAACAAAAAAGATTTTGACGCAGATTTTAAAAGGTACGTAATCGGACATTTAATTAGACAATATCTCTCATATACATTACATATGAGGTTGTGTGCCAGTCCTGTATGGTGTCTTAATGTCAGCAGTTTGCCAGATTACATCCATCCACTTGGCGCAGACCCTCCAATCTTAGTCTTCTTTCTGTCTCTTACTCCTTTGTCTTCTCTCTTATCACTGTCCTCCATCCCCCAGATGTGGCTCAGATTGAGGAGAGTGTGGGCCAGAGGCTGCTGGACATGGAGGACAAGACGAAGCGTGTGGAGCAGGACCTGGAGAACCTGAAGGAACAGCTGAGGCAGTACACAGCCAAGAGCCAGATCACTGACTCAGAATTACAGTATCTTTTGATATGTTATATATGTTCGCCATGGAAAATGCAGCGAAAAGAGTCCAAATCTTTGTCAGTGTCCTTTATGAATCCAGTCTTGCTTTATTTACCCCTTTTTTTTTGTTAGCATCCTTAATCCTCCTCCAGATTTCTGCAGAGAGAGTTGGAGAGTCTGAGAAACACTGAACATGAGCTTCAGACTCTTCAGAACGAGGTGGATGAAGACACCACCGAGGTCATCCCATCAGCAGTGTGAGTCTCTGATATTATACCCACCTAGAGCCGGGTTCTGCTCGAGGTTTCTGCCTCTTAAAATTAGGACGTTTTTCCTTGCCAGTTCGTCAAGTGCCTGCTCGTGCTCAGGGTGGGAATTGTCTCATATACTCAAAGAGGATGGTCTGGACCTGCTCTATATGAAAAGAGAGTAATGAGATAATTTGTTATGATTTGGTGCTGTATAAAAGTAAATTGATTTGAAAAGGACTTCCCAGTGAATGGGAATTTAAAGCTGAAACAATGAGTAGATAAATTGATTGTGAATTATGAATTGATTAATTATTTCAGTCAGTTTTTAAAGCAAAAATTGCTGGTTAAAGCTTTTCAAATGTGGATGGATTTTCATTGTAAACAGAGTGTTTTTGTGGGATTATAAAGAGGCATTTCCCCACTATTTTCTGATATTTTATAGACAAATTAAATGTATTATTCAAGAAACTGATCTGTAGATTAATCAATAATAAAGTAATTAGTTGCAGCCCTAAAACTGCTGTGTGCATGGAGCACAGGATTTAGACAGTAATGGGCTGCTCCTCCACAGACAGAAGTTGACTCAGAAAATGACACATTGAGCACCATTCATTCTGAAAATATCCTGAAGTTAACTTTGCATTAGTCCAAAAGTAGTTTGATATATTTCCTGAATTTTGTTTTTATCCTTTCCTCAACAGATATGTGGCTCAGGTGTACTACCTAATAACCAAGATCAAGTGGGAATATGACACACAACCCAACGTCCTAAAAGGAGGTAAAGTGTTTTTTTTTTTCTGTTATTTTTTGTGGATATCTTGTGTGATGTGTCAGTGTGTGTGTGTGTGTGTATATGTCTGTTAATACGGCCTCAGACTGTCAGTCTTTTTCCTCCTCTTGCAGTGCACTATGGTGCAGACCTCGCCACTCCCATCAACATTGACACCTCAATGCGACCTCGGAGCGACGTAAGCGACCAGCTGTGGGGCTTCGTCAGTACTGAATGGTAGATGACAGAAGGACAGCTGTTGTCAGCACTGTTATTATTATTTGTGTTTGTCTGTAAATGTGTTTGTTTTCTTCTGTGCTCTACGTTTATATTGTTTTAAAACATTAAATATCTGAGACCTTTTGGATTATTAGTTATTCTCTAATTTGGTGGTTTTCAAACTGGGGTCCGGGGACCAACAAGGGTCCTGGACTGGGTTTTAAGTGGTCCCTAGAAAAGTTTAAAGGGGAAAAAATAGTGTTTGTTGTTGTTATTGATTATAATTTATCGTGATCCCAATTGTGACACATTTGACTATGAAGACTTTATAATTTTGAAACCTAAAAATAAACAAAATTACTCGGGTCCTTACAATAAAATGCTCTCAAGCTTAGGATCTGTGGTCTAATGTGCATCTACTGTGGGGGCCCTTCACATGAAAAAGTTCCCTGCTCTAATTGTATTTCAGCAACATTTTCTAGTGTCAGACTAGGACAAGTGGAGTGCTGGCCACTAGATGTCGCTGCAGAACTGTTTTGTTATGTTCTGTAAATGCCAGATGAGACATTGCAGAGAAATAATAGCTTGTGCAGTTTTTCTGAATAGAGTTTTTGTTTAGGTTACAAGAAGACAACTGAGCAGAACCCATTTGTTGAGGAAGAATCTTTCTTTTTCTTCAAGACACAATCCTGTCAGGTGAACTCAAGTACCCCTTCATCAACACCACCAGTCTTATTCAAAATGTGTTCTTACTAATGGATTATTAACGGGTATTTTTAAACTATTAATTATACAAATGTGGATAATATATTTTTTATACATTAAGCTACCTAGTCAACTATTTTTTCATTAATAATTATTCAGTAATTTTACTGATATAATTAAATACATCTATTTCAACCATCCATCCTTACTTTTAACAATTTAAATCATTTGCTCACTTTTACTGAATTATTTTAACTCAGTCATTTGTAACTTGTAGGTGATCACTCACTCAGGTTGATGGGTAGCTTACTGGTTGTACATTTCCTAAAGAACAGCATCAGACTGCTATGTAATTCTTGTTGCCTCTGGTTTATTTTCCATCTCTAACACAAATATGTTTTTAATCAGATTATAATTTAGCTGAGTTAGCTGATTAGCGATTAGCTTCCATGTGCCCCCATTGTCACTGAATCTGGTTTTGGCAATGTAAGCCTGGCTCACATTGACAGATGTCAGTCCCTCCAGCAAGTTGCAGTGCAACAATTAATGCAAATTTACCAATCCCTGTGAATTCTGCACGACCATTTTGCGGCAATTTTTGTCCAGTCACTGGAACTTTTCTGCTAATTTGTCCGTTCACTGTAGTTTCCCACGAGTTTCACCAATCATAACAATGAGCCAAATGTCACCAAACTACTAGTGATTTTATTCTCACTGGAACAAGTTGCCTTTGAACTTTAATGAATTATACAAAAACAAAACACTATTCTTCTAATTTTCATTTTCTTTTGCAATTTAATTGCAAAAAAGTGCCTAAAAATTCAGTGAAATCAGGGATTTTAGGCCTCAATCCGCCAAAAAGACTGCTAAAACCTGTAATGACTATAATATGTTATTGTTTTGTACAGTAATATATTGTTAATACTTTTATTTGGCAATATTCTTTAAGCACTGATGTATTTAGAAATCAACCTGTGCCAATACATTATTGCCATAGGCATCAATAAATGTCACCGCACCATACGAAACAATTAAATTCATCTCTGTAATTTGTCCAAATTCAGGCACGATAGTGGTGAGTTAGCAAAAAAAATTGGCATTTTAATATAGAACAAGATGCTGGAATCTAAACCAGGAAACACCGACAACACCCACGTAGTGTGTGATGTGTTATAATTTACCCATCTGCTCTAGTGAGAACCGAAAGCTATACCTTCTTTGAAAAGGACTTCATGCCATGGTTGCGTACCACTGAAGCATGGCGAGTGGTTAAGAGTGGGCAGGGTGACGTACAATTGTTGAAGAGGCTCATACTCACACCTACCATAACTGGGAAGAACCAAGCACCAATATGTGGTTTCCTTACGGTAAACAGCAGCTGACAGCTAACACTAACTTTTTCTGCAACTTCATCTATACCTCAGCCACAGGCACATATCATATCAAGTGGTTAACAGGTGGTTTAAATGGAGAAGGGGGTTCTGTGTGTTTGTCTTTATTTTTCCTTTCATCGCTGCCTTGTTGAAGCCTCGCGTTAATGCTCAACAAGTGGCACACTCATTTTACTTACCTGTTAATGCTTAACTTGGTACTAACTAGTGTACTTTTATAACTGAACATCAGCTGACTTGTGAGTAAGTGATAATGGATTGGATCTAATGCATCACCCTAACTATGATGTCAGAAGTTAGCGTGGTGTTAAGACCTCTGTTGTACAGTGTCAGCAAGGTTTTAATTTATTACCAGGACATTTGTTTCTGTTAATCTGGTCAATCAGTGTTTATAAACCCAAATTTGTGTATTCACTTGGGGGAAAAGGGAAAAAAAATAATGTTCATTTTAGTTAAAACAAAGGAGATTCACATCTACTAATAGTCCATTGTTTCAGTATTTATAACAAATTATTCACATTTAATGAGGTAATATCAAAATGGTATAAAAATCACAGAACAAAATAATTTAAACAGCATATAGCATAATATAAAAAATACCACAATATATTTCAATTAATATTAGATTTTATTTCTAGTTATATCATCTTATAGCAATATCACAATGTTGAGTGCTATACATAGTGTGTGTGTGTATATACAAAGGGGAAGGATGTCGGGCAGTTAGAGACGAGACCTTTCAGACATAAACTATTGAGACCTGTCTGAGAAAGAAAATCTCAGGAGTAAAGAATTTTCAAACCACCATGTAAACATCATTCACATATGTTTTATTCAGTGCAGATATAAAACTGGCATCATAACTTAAGTGAGGTTTTTACAATACAAAATGCAGCTCTGATGAGATTAGAAAAGGTTACAGATATTTACAAAGTATACTAAAAAAAAGTAAAGTATTTTTTTTTCTTTTTACATTTATGTACAATAGTATTTGCTTTTATGTCATTATGACTACAATGAAATTCCCCATAACTTTAATGCCCACACACTCTGTGTGTGGGTTTAACAGATTTCTGCCGCTCTTTCTCACAAGAAAAATTGATTAATATAATTTCATGATGAACGTTCTCCAAGAAGAAAAATACTCTTCTTTTGTTCTTATTGTCCACAAGCTTTACTGTGTCATATCACTGTGATGTTCTACTCCTTTGGACCAAGAAGGCATCAACAAACCTCCACTGTCAGCTTTATTGCTTTTAGTCATTCATCATGTGTTGCTACATATGTCGAAGGGACCTCCAAAGCTGCAAACCACTCAGCACCAACCCTCCATATGACGTGTTTAGTACGTCTCCAGCCCACCGAGCCTCTGATCTCGGCCGAGAGGACCTCGACCCAGAATTACTGCTGACCGAAACTCACATGGCAGAAATTACATGGTTTTGGCAGCCGAGTTTGGGTGTGGATGCTCTGTGTTTGTAACAACATATCATTATATGCTACACAGGGAGAGGAGGTAAGGATAAATCTCATCTTTGGGCTTTGGCCACGGTGTAGCAGATGTGCAGCATGGTTGTAAGTATTTATGTGAAGCGTCTGCACACAGTCTTTGATTTCATTTTAGGTGCAAAAGCAAACACTGATAAAAGAATCAAACTCCAGAAGGGGAGTCCCTTGACAAATACTGGCCTTGTTTTCAATGTCTAAAAATGTAATGCGGTTTTTCACAAGAAACTGCCAGCTATTAATGCATTGACATTTCCTGTTTTTCATGATTGGGCTGTAATGGAAAACATGTACATAAAGTTGAAAAAGTAAATGTCTTTCTCCCAGTTTGGACATCTATCACATACATAAAGCTTGCTCTGTTCCATGAAGATTAATACCTCAACTTTAGCAGAGTGCAACACAAATCTTCAGCTCCTGTCGTACATGTTTACACTTCAGTCTAAATGCTCTCAGTGTTAAGTGAGCCACCGTGTCATGTTTTCAACATCCTGGGGTAAATGGCCTTGATAGTAGAGGGTGTTAAGTTACCAGAGGATACTGTCGTCTCCAGTCCCTCCAGTCTGTGAGAGGCCGCATCAGTCTTGCTTGTGCTGCACTCCAGGAAGGGCATCCCAATCTTCTTCACCTGTCCGTCTTTAGTTAAGAGGCAGGGTCGGCAGAGCAGCCTGAGGATGGCCCTCCTCATGTCCTTGCTGGTCAGGGTGTAGATGATGGGGTTAAGAAGGGAATTGAACATAGCGATGCCCAGGAAATAGTCCGCTTTCAGGAGCACCTCACAGCTTTTGGCTGGACAGAAGAAGTCCAGCAGGAGGAGGATGAAGAGGGGCAGCCAACATGCGATGAAGACCCCCAGGACTATGGTGACTGTCTTCAGCAGGGCCATGTACTTCTGGGACTTGCGGTAGAGGCCTTTGCGCTGTGGAACTGCGGCAAGGCGTTGGGTGTTGGACTTGACAATGCGGAAGATGCGGACGTACAGCACCACAATGGACATGAGGATGGCGCTGAAGATGGTGATACAGAAGAGGATGTAACTCTTGGCGTAGAGCGGGAGGACTGTGGAGCACTGGTCCAGCTGCCCCATGCAGTTCCAGCCCAGGACCGGCAGGATGCCCAGGAACACAGACAGCACCCAGCTCGCTCCAATCAGAGCAAACATCCGCCCCTGTTTGTCCCCCTGGTACGGCTTCATCCTCACCATGGTCACATGGCGCTCAATGGCAATGGCCAGCAGGCTGATGACGGAGGCGGCAAGCATGATGAACACACCCCCTTCCCTCAGGAACCACAGCACCGGGGTCATGTTTAATGTGTTGGCACCAGACATGATGATGTTTACCATGTAGGTGAAGCCTGCGAGCAGGTCAGAGAGAGTCAGGTTGCCCAGTAAGTAGTACATGGGCAGATGGAACTTCTTATTCTTCCAGATAGCCACAAGCACCACCGCATTTTCTACAACTATAAGCAGGCAGACGAGCAGGAAAGCTATGGCATCTGGTTTGAGTCCTTCCTTGTACTTGTTCTCCTTCAGTTTGCCTGTGTAGTTGTAGTGCTCAATGATGACTTCGTTGCTCTGGTACGCACGAAACATCCGAAGCAGGTTCCCTTCAGAGGGGGACACAGGCATTGCAGACGGGTGCTCAGCAGCATAGGCAGCGTGGAAAGTCTCTGTGGCCATTATTTGGAGCTTCCAGAGGGTAGATGCCTTTTTCTTTTCTGAGTTGATGATTAGATCCACAGAGAAGGTGTCATATATTCCCCTGGTTGTGCATTTCTTTCTTTGGTTTTAAAAAAAAAGACAGAGGCAGTCAGCTGTTGTACACAGAGAAAAAAAGTGCTCCTTTTGAAGCTATCAAGTAGGATTTCCTGTGGTTTGAGAAATTTTCCTCCAGAAATCAGAAGTTTTCGATGCCCTGTGCCACTAGGAGGCGATGAGAGCCAGCCTGCATTGAAGAAGAGGGAAAGAAAGTTAGTATTAATGAGGAACGACCAAACGCGATTATTAACGATAGGAAATGGAATATTGCATTAATTTAGAAACCTTCAACAATATCCAGAATACATGATTATTAGACATAATAGCGATCATATCTGCATGGTTAATGAGGGGGAAAGCCTCCAGTGCGGAACATACAGTAAAAACCTGTAGGAAAAAAAGGGTTATGGCTTCAGTGGGATTAAAAAGTTTGTATTTAACTTTTTTTTAAAAAATACACTGACGTTAATGGGAGTGTTTTTCCTGCAACCCACGTTTGGGAAGAAGGAAAACAACTAGAAACTAACTCTTAAGCTTTATTGTCATTATATAGTTAATTTATGCGTAAATACGCATGAAAGTATCCAAACCGGCAAATGTAACTGTTACAGACAATTGTAAGAACTGATCTTATTGATAAATAGTTTCTACATAGAGGCATACAGTAAAAAAAAATAAAAAATAAAAAAAGGTTTAGATTCATTAATAACATCTAAACTCTACAAGCCCAAGCTACTGAGAGTTAAAAAATGACCACTCGCACAGAGTAAAGTCACCATAAATGAATCACCCAGCAGCACAGACGCATTTCACGCCTCTTTTAGGCATCATATCAGAACAACACGGTTAATAACGAGACTTCAACAAACTCTTTCACGCACCTGTAAAAGCGTGTAAAATATCCAGCGAAACCTCAACGACAGAAGTGATCCCACGGCCGGAGGAGGACAGGAGGAGGACGCGCACTCAGTCTCTCACCGCTCCACAGCGACATGTGAGTATGATGTGGGAAAAGAGCAGGGCAGGACTCAACATGCAGTGGGTTGGTCTATAATGTTGGTGCCCTTCAACGATGTTACTCCCTCCTTCGTCTGACCCCTCGAGGGTTTTTTTTCCCTTTCTTTTTTCTGATTTGCCCTCAGGAGGAATTAGAGCTCGGTGACAGATAATGTGTTTGTCATTTCAAAAGAAGGAGGAAGAAAGTGATATTGCCATCCTATCAGTTTGCCTCCAGGTACAGCCAGGTTTCTGTAAAACGTTGCCATGTGTATTTTTGGCTCCTGTTTGTATTCAATATGCTTTTGAAGTGTAATTATGGCTGTCGATCACTGCAGCTCTAGGTTGCTCTTCTGGTTTGTCAGATTATGTGGAAATCTCTCTCTCTCTCTCTCTCTCTCTCTCTCTCTCTCTCTCTCACTCACTCTCTCTCTCCCACAGTTAATAAAAGACAAACATGACACTTAGAAGTAAACTTAAAAACTAAAAACCACAAGTTAATTTGTCAGTGGAAAAATAGTAATTTGTGAGACTGGTGTGGCTGGGTCTGTTTTGCAGTCCAGAAACCCCAGATTTCAGAAAATAACTTACTCAGATAGGCTTCATCTGTAATTATCTTTTAGCTCACACATGAAAAAAAAAAAATCACTTTTTTCTGGCGGACATGTCATTTAGAGGTCCTTTTTCCCCCCTTAAAGAGCCCCCTAAAGACATGTTTAAGACTCTTGGAAAATACTCTGCTTTTAATGATAATTTGTGCACAAAAAGATCAATTACCTCACCAAATATTCTTAAAATTACTCCTTTTCCCTCTTTGAAAAACTCCAGAATCTATGAATATGCTAATCTTTTTATTTTTAAAAGTTAAACAGCTGGGCACAAGATGTCTCCTACATGTGCACTGGAGGCTTCATGTTCTCACATCACACTTCACTCCTCTGTAAGTTTCATATTGAACCACACCGGTTGTGAAAATAATACTTGTATGTTCAGGTCTCACACTCATATTTGAGTTGAGCTCAGAGAAACTTTCAGCAGATTAAAATAGGCTTTTATTGTCAAACATACATCATTGTGCACAGCGAGGCTCAAACTGTTAAGTGAAAACTGTTGAGACATGGTTGAGTGGAGTATTTGTGTTGTGAAAAGTGCTAAAGAAATTAAGATTACCAATGTTTTTTCCTGACTTGGATTAAATTAGTTAAATTACCCTTTATATCTCATTACAATCACAATAGCAAACACAGCTGGACAGCAGAAGTCTTATCACCTAATCCATTATTTCTTTAGCTGCCAGCTTTAGATACCTACTTTTCATGAACATATATCAGCTATATATATATGTATGTATATATGTGTGTTTATGTGTAATTTCCAGGTTCACATAAAAACAGATAGAAACTCACATTCTGTTTCAAATAATTTATAGATGTCACAGGGTTCAGGGATATTGAGAGGGGCGTTTTTCACTATTTCGACACATTTTTAAACGATAATTATCTTCAGATTTTCTGATGGTAAAGATAATTGTTAGTTGCAGCCCTACATTCTGATGTTGCCACTTCAACCAGTGTCTCAAACTGCGTTACACATATCTCCTGAAACTTAAAGCTCTTACTTTTTATTTTGAATTGTTCTACCTCGGCCCCCCAAATGTAGCACAACGTTCCCCAGGACGCACCAGTAATCATATCTGAATGGATAAATGACACCATCTCTGTTCTAGTCAGTGCTATTAATATATTGTTTGTCCACTGAGACTACCACCATCGTAGTAGTAGTAGTAAAGTTAGAATCATCTCAAACCACTAATGTGACATTGCCGGGACACTGGCAGAAACGACGAGGGAAATTACGTAAGGCGAGGGCGGGCGAGTGAAGGCTGGACTGGGCCTTTTCTAAACAGGAAGCTGCCTCATTGTGCCTAGAAAGGAGAGGGATATCCTTGAGAAAAACACAGATGAAGTCACTGGTAGGAACTGACACAGAGGGACTGTGACTACAGAGTGACGTGCAACCAACACTTAAAATAATCAACAACTTACTCACCATCCGATGGAAGATTTTGTATGTAGTGACGACGGTTTATTGAGAGATGGCTTTTTCCTGGTGGTCTCTTTTGCATCTATAAATAGTTATTTTCTTTCTCCCCACGTCAACAGAATTGTTCTCATTTTAGCTTTGTCACACCTGCTCCCCTGGGATCCGTTTTTGCCCCCTTTAAGTGATTTCCAGTTGGTGTCTGCTGTTGGTGCTGCCTGACTCATCTTGTTGTGCCTTCCCTCTCTACCCCGAGGCCCACCCAAGTGATAACCAGGTTGAAACTGGCAGCCAAGTGGCAGTTTAACCCCCTGCAGTGATACCGTGACAATCTCTCAGCGTGCTGCCTCTGATTACTTAACACACAAAGACATGACAGCAGGACTCTGCTCTGTGTCTTCTTTCTTTTTTTCCCACAGTGGGGATCTACTCCGTCACTGCTTCTTCCCTCAGGCCACAGGCAAACCTTAAGAACAGAATGCCCTGTCCGGACGCACCCAGTCGTCTCACTGCCTGGAGGAGGTGGTGGTGGTGGTGGTGGAGGGGCTTTTTGTATTCAGTATGTTCTGTCCAGCACTCTTAGCTCTGGGTGATTTTTCCTGTGACGTTAATGCGCCTGTAGAAAGGAAGTCAGTCACTCCTGCTTTTGTCATGATAGCCTGCTTTAGATTTACTGCTGCTTGTGTTGTCTCCTTTACTCGCTACTCGTCTGGCTGCTGTTTGTCACTGACTGATGGCATGTTTAAGGAAAATTATCCTAAAGTTGATGGCTATTTTTGGGATGGGGGTGACATGTCATAACCCCCTTCTTCCTATTTTGCTACTTAAAAAAAAAAGAAAATTTAAGACCCCATTTGGGTTCACTTCACACACTGAAAACACCTTTTAAAAGCCTTGCATCGCCTGCTGAAACCTGTTGCATTTCTCTGCTCTGAGGTGTTACTGGTGGTCCATATAATGCAAAATCACACCTCAGAATGAAATTCTCACTTCTTGCTAACAGTTAAAAACACAGCCTTAATGGATAATGTTATTTCGCAAGTACAAAAGAAACCCTTCACACCTTTCTAATTCAGACAATCAGTTGTTAAGGCTTTTTTTTTTTTTTTTTTTTTTTTACTTCTGAATGTAGTAGGGTTTGCTTTACAGTAGACTTTGCTAGCTGCTCGGTAGCTAGCTGTTTTCCTTTTGTCACAAGGACGGTTGGTTGTCCTAGTTTAGCATTATGACTGAAAACAGCCAGTTTATGCAACCAAAAAATCCCACTACAAGCACCTATAAAGCTCCCTCATTAACACATTATATCGATATGTTTGTTTAATACAGAAATTATCTGCATAAACTGTGTGCTGGTATATTTCTTTGCTTGAAACAGCAACCAGCTGAGACTACAGGAAGTCTCAACCAAGAAATAATCCAGCACAAACCCCCCCTCCCCATCTTAAATATTTGTACAGATTAAAGAAATGAAATATAATGTGTTACACTGAGGTTTTAGTAATTTTGGACAGAGCCAGGCTAGCTGTTTCCAGTCTTCACATCACACAGAGATGAGAGTGGTACATATCTCGTCATATAACTCTGCACAAAAGACATGAAGTGTATTTTCCAAAATGTAGAGCTATTCCTTAAACGCTTTAGACGCTTTCATACGCCGGCTGCGTGGTAGAGTAGACTCATTTTAACCTGGAAAGTCTTGCAGAAGGAACGTTCAGAATGAAGTGTTAATCGTAAGTGAGCAGTCGCAGAAAGGCACAGTTTGGAAAATGTTCGATGTATTTTCTCGAAAGTGAGGGTTAGCTTGAGGTCATGATTTGTTTTGCTCTTCCTGTGTGTTTGTGTGTTAGAGAGAGAGGAAATCCATGGCCTTTAGAAAAAAACATGCCACAACAGAGCCCAGGTTAAAAAAGAGAAAAGCTCAACATAGTGTCTAGCGCGGTAGTTGCTGCCAGAGATTTATGGGAAGCCTAGAAATAGCTCGCCTTTCTCAAAGTCCAGCATTTCTGCCACGCTGTTTCATGTGCAGCTGTGCCGGGCAGTGAACTCACTTTGAGCTCCTAATAAGGGAAAATGGTAAGAGCATATGTAAATGTTGGAAATGTTTCTTTTCCATTGCTTCCATGCTGTCCACTGTTTTTCTGTGAGGTGAGCTACCTGACTCTCCCCGCTGGTCTCCAGTTGCTCAGACTGCATGTCTGTTGTCCTGCCTTTTCTTATCCAACAGGGCTCAAAGCCTCAGAGTCAAAGCATTCAGATTAGATTGCATCTACAGCATTAAACTCAAACCCGAGCAAGGGCACATGCCAGTTCGCTCGACCATTTCTTCTGGCCCTTGTTTAATTGTGTTTCCTCTATCATGCAAACAGATGCAAATCTTTAAAAACTGGCCTCCAACTGTTGTAAAAAAGTGACATTTACATACAGTATGCTTTATGTAGTGGGTCTGTGGAACGTGTAAATTATTTCACCAGAGCTGACCATCTAAAAGCATTTTGCTGTGATCCAGACCTCATGTTTTTACAAGGAAAACACACTTGAAGTTTTTCGTTTGTGTTGAAGCCAGACAGTCTTTATAGTCAGCCTATGCACAATAAAATGCATTAATTAATTCCCCTGATATAAACAAAGTTGTTTAAAACGTCTACTACTCCAAAGTAGATTTTTTTTTTGTATGAGTCAGGAGGCGGAAAAAGCTTTGTTGAAGTTGCTAAAGTCAGTGGGGATTTCCTGGTACAAATAAACACAGGAAGAGGCTGCCATTCGGGACCATTTTGATTAGACATAAACTGAGCATATGTGAATGTCAGTTGTGTCTATATGCAAACACAAACATCCTCATTTGCTATGTAAACCTTTCACCAGTTCTCGTTCTCAAGCTGGTTAAGTTGCTCTGTTCGAGCTCAGTTTCCATACTGCAGACGAATGATTGTTTAGTCATTTTCTGCATATTCATGACTTTCACTCAGCTCACTTACAGCTGTGTTTATTAAAATCCGCGATGGCATCACTGAAACTGAATCCCACAAGTTTTGCAGAGCCGTGTTTTAGGTTGACCACCAGGCTTTCTTGGCCTGCGAAGAGAGGAAATCAGCCTTGTATTTATTATTAAAGGAAGATGGCTCAGTCAGCATTGTTGACACCAAGTGTTCTACCTCATTAGTCAAAAAGCCACCGCTCTACTATTGGAATTTCACTTAATTGCTTTGGTCACATTCACTGGCATGACATATTGTTTTTGTATTTTGTTTGGTTTGTAGTGACTTTTTAGGCCCTCTGGAGCATTTTTAAGGACTAGTTTAATAATTGATACCATTCAGATATATTTTCTGTTAAAGGAATAGTTTGATATTTTGTGTTTATCCGAGAGTTAGATGAGAAGATTGAAAACAGTCTCAACTTGTCAGCTTACTGTAGCTTTGCACAAAGACTAGAAATGGAGAAACAGCAAGCCAGGCTCTGTACAAAACTAACCAAACCACATACCAGCACCTTTAAAACTCACAAATTGACATGTAATGTATAGTTTGTTTAAACTATACGTAACTTTGTCAACTTTGTCACTGCGTAGTCATCGCGTCCGGCACATAACCCCCCTGTAAAACCACAACTTCTTGTTTCAACACTTTTTGTACAGATATGATGCTTTAATTAATGACCTAATTTCCTGCTGTTTCCTGTAAGCTAATCTAATCGTCTCCTGGCTGTAGCTTCATATTTACCATACAGACAAGAGAGTGGTATCAATCTTCTCATCTAACTCTGCCAGAAAGCAAATGAGCGTTTTTCCCAAAATGTAGAGCTATTCCTTTAAAGCCACCTCTTTTCATGTTTGTCTGTGTTTTGTCATTCATATCCTTGAATAAATAAGCTCCAAAACCAAACTTTAAAGCAATATTCAGCAGTTCACAGTGTGTCAGTGATGTCAGCTTCAGCCCTCTTCTACAAACCATGGAGGCTTTGTTTCACTTCATTTTACAGACGTTTTCTTCGCTCTGTCTCCACATTCCCACATTTCAACATTTAACCTTCCACCCTTCACCCTCTCCTTGTCCTGCATTTGCTGATAAACCTCAAAAAGGCACCAGGTCAAACTTGATAAAGAAGCAGTCTTTCCTAATAGGGTTTCTCTGTGACAGTAAAAAGTTTCTAACTCCAGTTTGGGTGATTTTCATGTTTTAACTTATAGCAAAGAATCATATGATCCAATGTCGGTTTCACAACCAAATTAGGTAAAGTGAAAAATGTATGCCTGTCAATCTGAAACCTTTCCTTAATCCTTAAAAGGTTGACATTTGAGATGTTTCCACAGTGACAATATCCTTCACAGATGCTGTCATTTACAAATCACTGGCTGCCGTGCAGTGGTCACTGACAGGCTAGCTCATACTTTCATACATATGTATTTTTTTCCACATTAGCTGTTAGGGGGGTGAGATGTGAATGGGCAGTTTTATGAAAGCTTGTTTTGTTCATACAGTGGCGGTTTTGGGATGAGTTCATCTTGGAGGACAGAATGGAAGAAAGAGCAAAAGAGCTGTTCCCACATCGGGGGGAAAGGGGAGAGCAGGGTGGGTGGGGAGGGATGTGTGACGGACTGCATGGTGGGGGTGAGTCATGAGAATTAGTAACCGGCCTCTGTGAGATTTATTCAAACTTCTTTAATTACTGACCCGCCAAAGGCCCACCAGCACCCATTGTTGGAGGTCAGATTCTCGGAAGAGCTCCCTCCACTTTCACACAGAGGGAATGTGGGCGTTCAGTGTGGGGGAATAAAGTCATAAACAGCTCCGTTTGTGGGATGACGATGTTGGGGAAAATTCAACATTCCTCTGATGAGATGCATCTTTGGTCTTTGTCAGGGTTTTAGGTACTTCTTGACACAAGTTAGAAAAAATAAAACATGGGATTAATCACGCTGAACATGTCCTGTACTTCTCTGTATTGAGTTGTGTTGTTAATCAAAAAACCAAAACCACAGTCGTTGGGTTTTATTTGCTGCTTTTCCCAGGACAAAGTAATCAATTGCTTCCACCAGGGTGTTAGTCAGTGAATGAAAGCCTGAATAGCTGTATATAAAGGAAGCCAGGCAGCACACAGGTATGAGCAGATTAGTAATACAATAGCAAATCTAACATGTATTCAGGAAATGTCACAGATATCAGCCGGACAGAAGGATTATAAATGAGTCTATCACTGCCATAGCAAATGAGGTAAAAGTGATTTTTAGGGTGCTTAGCGTGCTGGTTAAAAATACTCTCTTACAACACTCCATTGTCTCAGTTCAATAGCTGTACCTTTCAGCATACACTCCCACTGGCCCATCACCCCACACACATTTCTATTCACTAAACGATTGTATAAGCATTTCACCTCCAATGAAAATAAGGCTGTACATTTTACAGGCCAGACCGCAGAGGCTGACTTCCTATCAGGAAAGCTTTTTCTATGAAAAATGCAGTGAAATGCAGAGGTGATAAGGTGAAAGGTGCAGCCATATTGAGTTAATTGGCTCAGGACCTCTTAAAACTATACTTTTTATATTTGCAACCGGTG